CGGGGGGGGGGGGGGGGGGGGGGGGGGGGGGGGGGAGAATTGTTCTCTTGGGAACCACGAAAGTTAGGAAGCTGGAATTTTAAGGCGATGTCCTCTGCCCACATACAACCTCGCAAATTCGAATTCAGCTTCCGCGTAAGCCTGGGTTCCAAGTACGGCGTCGTGAAATTTTTGGCGGGGAGAATTATCTTGGAGGCGAAAAGAGCGGAGGACTGGGAACTTCAGGAGAACGTTTTCTGCTTATACAAGGGCTTAACAGACTCAAAATGAGCTCCCAAATATGATGCGATCTCACTTGCGATCATGTGAAAGTTTTGGCAAGAAAAGTTACTCGGAAGTCAGAGAACTAGGAGGTTGGAATTCTGGAACAGTTTTCACCGTCCGAGGTTTTAAAGTCAGCTTTTACGCCTGCTTACGTTTCACTTACTAGTACGTGAGATTTTTAATGGGGAATTTTGCAGTTTCGGTACCAAACAGCATACCGACTACTTTTTCACGGACCAAAATGAAAATCTTTAGAAAGTAAACGTCCGCCGTTCAAAACTGCGCATGACGCATGATCGCACTGGCTGTCGTGATGTGCGCTGCTATTTATTATTGTTGTTCAGACTTAGTGCAGTTCTCCCTCGTGATGGGAACGCACTTGCTCGACATGTCTGGTGTGCTGATATGTCGAAGAAAATTTAGATGAAAATTGGTAATTGGATCTTGTCGTCACCATCTGTTGGTACCCTGAGCATTGAGAATTGCGACGGCATTCATCAGCGAGTGATTATCATGGAGGATTTGCCAGGCTTTATTGCCGAAGCAGATAATCAAGCGGATAAGACAGTGCGAGCAGAAAAGACACTTGGTTCATTTGGAATTTCATTTTATACGGATTTGCTAGTGGATTCGTCCCGTTCTCTCTTTCTGGCTCTCCCGAGCAGTTTTGTTTCTTTGTCCCTTAACAGAATGAAATTTAACATCTTTCTACGACCGTTTTGGGAGACAGTACCTCTTCTTCACTGTATCCCAGTTACTGGTTCAGTTGGAGCGTTTCTGTATTCGCCTTCTCTACCCGTGCGTTATGTGAATACATGCTGGACTGGTAGCATCGCCCATTCAGACACAGCTGTTTTTTTTACACACGATCATTCCAGTGGCCATTTGCGGAGGGAATTGTTTCAGGATTGGATTTCGTTACCGGTTGGGGTGCTCGAGGTGGTGGACGACGTGTACGTTTTGGTTTTGTGTCTAAAAAAGATCAGCTGCATGAATTGGCGAAAGAAATCTGGAACAACTACATGAAGGAAGCGCGATCCAAACCACGCAGCGCTTTGGTTGAATTGCAGAAAGCTTCCTCAACTGTTAAGGTTTGTTTGCTTATCGGTACATTCTGCTGATTCGCCTGCTGGTTACTGCTGGTTGTGCAAAGCAAAAGCTTGAAGAAATAAAACAAAATAAAATTGAAAAAAAAGGCTGTGATAAATTAAAAGGTGCAACATTGGTGCATCTCACTTTTCTGTTATTTCCCTTATTTTTTGGTCAGATTTTGCGGTTCCGAAAGTGCTGCGCAGCATGTACCGTGAGCAAGGCAAGACTAAAGACAGAATATCCTAAAACCGTCTGTATAAATTTTTCATAGAAATTGAACGGCGCTGAATTATTAACTTTTGTTTTTCATTTGTTGTTTGCAAAAGATTAGTTAAAATTTGCAAGTTTATTGTGACGGGTAGGTTGTTGTTTTTGGTTCGAGCCTAAACCTCGAATTTTGCTTGCACTCTTTAAATGTCACTTTTGCTTTCCCTGCCCAAGATTCAATGTTTTTTCTTAAAATCCTCTTTCCTTCGAGCCGTAGGTCGTCGGACAGATGGTTGCCCGTTTAAGATTGGATGTCGCCGATTGTTCGATAAGTGCAAAATGTCAGATTTCGTTTGAAGATCGTTTTCGAATTTCACACGTGCTTTGTGAGTTGGTCTCATTATTGCCACCCGCTTGGCCGATGGTCGGACTTTGTTATGTAAATCGCTTAAACACTGGCTAGCTTGCGCTTTGCCGGGCGTATATACGAGAGTTTTTATCTTCTCAACCAGAGCCATTTTGTGTCTAGAAAATGCTAAGGCATTTTTGAGTGTTTTCTAATTATTCATTGTATCATCGTAATTTTTTTTGTTCTAGGAAATATGCAGCACAAAAGTTGCCGGGCTACCTCAGGTTGTGCTTTTGAGGCTGGAGGAAGCTCTCAAATGCATGCATTTATCTGTCGTCAGCGATCGACTTCTGTCGACCTTCGAACTCTCGATATCTGGAATTGTGGATGCGTTACTGTCGCTATTCAAATCTGTTCAAGAGTGCGCTGAGGGCGAGATTTTGGCTATTTTCATGAAGGTAGATGCTTTACGTCGTAATAAATTATCACAAGTTAACTCTATAATTTACGCTGTGCTGACTGTATAGCCCACATCTGTGTTCGGGACGGCATACTCGTTGTCCATAAGCTTGCAGGTTTTCGCCGATCAGCGCTCATTTTGTGCTCTTGTGCGTAAAATGGTTTCGGTACTGGACGCTACGGAAAAATTTCCGCAGTATCTTTATGATTTGCCAGGCGGCTCGTCATTTGGCTTACAACTGCTTGGTCGTCGTATCAGACTTAGATTGGAACAGCTCAATCCGAACACGTTATTTCAAATGAGGCTACTCAATCGGTTATTTTTCTGATCGTATTATTGCGCAGCTAATCAAATTTTAGCGTTTTTTTGGCAGCTCTTTTTGGCGCCGTCTTACTTCATAGCGTGAACCTGCTTGTATGGAGTCCTTTGCCCTTTTGCACATTTCATTTTTTTTTAAACATATGTGGTTGATACTTAGCTCAACACACTCTGCTGATGGCGACCGCTGTTTAGAAGTTTACACGAGAACTGAATACTGAAGGGGAAGAAGAAATATACTTTGGCAAACTTTTCTCTATAAATAAACCAGGAAGATTGAGAAGCGAATGTCACGCTTACTAGTTATCTAATTGTTAAGAGATAGTGTTTCGGTCATATCAACTGTGGAAAGATAGCACCTGTGTAGTTAGCCCAGAATCACGCTATAATGAATTAGCAATTGCTGTAATTGCCAGTGTTTTTTGGCAGATTCAAGGAAAGGGGAATAAGACGTGGACGAATGATTCTGAAAATCCTAGAGCTAATTGCAGTTTTCAGGACGGGTAGGACAATGAAAGCGGAACCACTGGTTACAGTGAAACAGCTGAAAAGTTATATCCAGCAGATGGTTGTCAAGCAGTGGTATGATCACCCACGCGAAACCTTCAGTTTTGTTGAACAAATTAAATGTGCGAAAGAGCGCGGCGTGAAAATATCTTTCCTTTACACCAGTGATTTCGATGAAAACGGTTTGTTCGATGATTTCGTTACATTTTGTTTGTGTGTTTTGTGATGCACAGTCTTTTGCTTGTCGATTGTTCAGAATGCGATGGCTTTTGTCTAGGTTTCGAGCAGATTCGATTACTTTGAGCATTCGCAAGCGTGAATTAGCTCTTACTCATGCCATACAGTTTTAAAAAAAAGGCGCCGTTCCTGGAAAGCTGCCGTTATCAAGCAGTTATTTTAATAATCTGGAAATTCTGAGGGGTTTATTTCATTCTTCTTAGAACAAGTTTTTAGGCATAATTTATTGGCTGGGAACAAACGGCGGCACCGTAGCTGAATGGACAAATCCAGCAAGTGTTTCTGTTGTTTGTGTGACATGTTCCGATGGAGAACGCTTACCGTATGGGCGTCATGAGGACATACTAAGTCGAGATGTAAACGCCCTCAATTGCCACACTTCCGACGACAAGTAGGCGATCATTCGGTCTTTTTCTAAAAAAGTGTACACTGGTTTTCGGCTGAAAGGCGGCGCCTACTGCTCTTTGCAGGAATGCTCATTTCACAGTTGATCTTGGTGTATATGTGTATCCCGACACGTATACGCTGCGTCATGCACGTGGCTACGGACGATCTGCGCTTCGCACTTGGCTTTTGCAGGTTTTATTTGTGAAATCGACTTTAATTTTGAACTTTCTTTCCTAAACTCTTCATTAAGATTTGGCTTGATAGTTCTTTATACTAGAGTTAGTTTACTTTATAGTCACGCCGCTGGCTCATTGCCTAAAACAGGTGGCAAAATTTGCTTGGGCAAGGTGTAATGAGTGATAGTGCCTACTTCCTTCAGTCTCATCGAACTTATAAATGTGCTATCTTTTAATGAGTTCGGTTGTGACGTGCACTGAGCTAAACCTCTTGTTTTTTCAGCTAAATAAATGCTGTGAGCTCCCTCTTAGCTGCTGAGTTTTTTACAAATAGAGCTGATAATGAAGTGATTACTGTCCTAACCGTTCTTAAAATTTAATTTCGCTACGACAGTGTTAAAACAAACTGGTTTTAAATTATAGGAATACAGATAAAAGGTTGGGTTATGAAATGATGCTTGTTTGTTGTGCGGATCTTGCTTGTTTCGCTTGCAAGACTTCCTGGAACACATTTACTGTTCTTTTTAAGGGTACCGTTTGGAACATGATGTGTCTGTGCAGAACTGTATTTACTCATTTGCTGAATTTTAACATTTTGGTACTTCTAAAATTGGTGAAGTTAGTTATGAAAATGAGAATATTTTTTTAGTATATAGGAAAATAATAAGACGGGTGACAGCCATGGAAGTATGACTTGGTTTTCCGGGAACTCGTGAATCAGGGTTTTTAAACATCTCCACCGTAACATGGTTATACAGCTGTAGAGCCTTGTGATAGTACCTTTTTCAGCTGGCAAAATTAGTCCAAGTTTACGGTGAATTTGCTACACTTTTTCTCTCGAAAGTTTCCACGGACGAAGCCTCTTTGTGCAGAATCCTAGTTTTTAAAATCTCTTCGTCGGTGTGGAGTCTGTTGTAGTATCATTCAGGCGATTATAAGGAAGGGGGACATCATGCGCAGAAACGGTATTTTCACGCAGAACCGTTTTGAGATATCTATGGGTTATTGAAGTTTAGTCCGTTCTGAAAGTCAGAATTATTGCCAAAATCTGAATGTCACTTAGTTATTTGTAGCATTTATAAGCCCTTGAATTGTAGGGCTCCGTGGACGGTAACACGTGGGATGTGCTTATGGTACATGAAGGCGACACGTCATTGAGCCATCCAGGCTCCACTGCTACATGGCCACTTTCTTGCAATGAAGGCAAAGGTATTTCGCATTATATCGTTTTGATGGGCCTCTCTTTGGGAAGTGAGCGTGTTTTTTGCAGGTCCCTATCGGTATATTCGCATTGCACAAAACGGGAAGAATGCTAGCAATCAAAACCATTATTTGTCGTTATCAGGCTTCGAAATATACGGTGATATTGTGGATGTTGTGGTGGGTGCCTCCAACGATTCCTTTGTTTTAGTTTTCTTTCAAACGGTACAGTCAAAAAGTCGGAGTTACTAGTGAAAATTTGTTAGCCAGGTCTTCCGGCAAAATTACGTCCGCCTGGGAATCACATCCTGATGGCTTATAGTTACTGCGTTTGCGCGATGATAAAAATCTGTAGTTTTCGCTTTGCAAATGTTTGGTTTTTTTGCAAATATCTGCAGAAATTGCAAGATACGAGATGCTTCGCGCATGCATTAAGAACTTGCGACCTATCGGACTGTTACGTCTGGCAAGCCAATTAATTTTTATGCGTTTTTTGCATCTATGCAATGCAAAAACGCATATTGTCGAAGATATCTGTGCGTGTGTGTCTGTGTTCACATCTTATTGTGTTCATCGTACTGATTTTCCATCTCGGGACCCACAAAAGCTATGAGATTGGAACTTTGGAAACTTGATCTACATGCATGTACGAACCAAATTCTCAAAATGAACATCTTTGCTCACGTGGTTCCCACGCAAGTGCTGAAATTTTTTCGCGGGTAAGTTGCTAACACGCAGCCTGAAAAGTTAGAAAACTAGGATTTTTAAGGGATGTTCCCCGTCCATGTAGAGGTCTTAATGAGTTCAAACCAGACCCCCGGCTGTGCGTGGTCCTCACGTACGGGTCCGTGAAAACTTTTTGCAAGTAAATTGCTAACTCGGGAACCAGGAAAGTTGGTAAGCTGAAATTTTAAGGGAATGTTTTTAGGCAGTCGTAGTGGCTAGTTTTAGTTCCTTTAGTTAGAAACATCTGCCGGAAAAAAATAGTGCCCCCAGTCACAAAAGTATGCGAGGAACTGTGCAAAAAAAACGCATCTTCACCACCGGCACCCGGTGCGCTGGCTAATTATTTTTTTTTTTTTGTAAAAAGGCAGAGGAAACGAGAGTTTGGGAAGAGCAACAAACAGCATTGAATATTAGAGAGGACATGACTTCACTCTCGCTAGAGTGAGAGAGCTTTCAGACATGTGTTCTCATTCTTTGTTCGAAACAAGACTACTTGTGGGGGGTCAAAGAAAAGCAGGTGGCTGTTAGAC